ACACACACACACACACACACACACACACACACACACACACACACACAGCAGAGGACAGAGATGGGTGTGTAACTGAATTCCAAGGACTGATAGAGACTCCTGATAAAGAGAGTAACCCAAGAATGTAGGTCACATGTGTGTGTATGGGCTTTTTCCTGTGGGCATTACTGAAGCTATATGATGGATGTGGGTGCTCCTCTAATAAGGAGCAAAATGTGGCTTTGAGGTTCAAAATGAAATAACCAATTTCAAGTTGGCTGAGCAGAGAAGACATACAGAAACTCTTCAGGGCTGCAGTCCATTATATCCTACAGAGCACTGCAACCTGGGAACTTTGTGTGGAGGGTCATGAAGCTTAGCAGCAAAACTTGAGAAACATCTTTAACCATAAACAACCAATCAGGTGTCCAGTCTGGTGCTTATCAGGCTCTGCCCTCCTGGACCAGAGCTCTTCCCCAGGCCACAAACTCAGCTATGTGACTATAGCTGATCAGATGAAACTCTTTGTGCATTAAATTACATTACCGTCATTTAGCAGACGCTTTGATCCAAAGCGACTTACAATAAGTGTATTCAACGTAGGTATTCGAAGTGCCTTCTGCTTCACTTACAGTTACTGAGGCTGTATTGTCAGGCAGCTTTACTACAAAAGGAGAGTAGGCTAACTGAGGCATGATAGACTTGTTGGCCACTTGGGGGCAGTGGAAACATGCCGTGAACACAACGTTGGCATATCATCACATATTAAGTTTATATGGTAAGTTGGGTATTGACACAGTTATTGAAACGCATCCTGCGTAGAAACTAATTAAAGTCCAATATTCTCTTTTAGCTCGGTTTTTGATCTCCACTAACTCTTGAGGAAAAAGACGTGTGTTTTAGCTGCTGTTTGGTCCTGAGCAGGTAACAAATAGTTCGAAGAGCTTTTTCTCTGTTACGAGCTGACTGCTGCGGCAATAAAAAGACAGAAAAAGATAAAGGTAGTAACATCTAATGGAGCTTCACCAGACCTAATATTAGAAGTAAATGAAGACCCAGGTAGCTCCAACTTGTATATTGACATATTTGGTGTGTTTTAAGGCTTAGGTTCCTAAATGTTGGTATATTTATTCATATTAATCTTTAATTTAACCTTCTTTCTTTTTTTCTTTTTTTAATTAGAAGGCCCCATTCATGAGTTTAATTCCCAAGACCTAAAACCGTGTTGCTATGCACCACAACCCATCTGCAGGCTCTTTAAAGGTTTTATTGCTCCCAATATATATCAGCAGTCTCTTGTGGAGATAATTTGCACATATAAAATAGCATCCCTGCCAAACCAGGCCAGTCTGTTCTTTGAGTTACTGTTCTCTGTGATAATGAGAGCTATTTGTTTGAGGCAGCCATGTTAGAATGAGAGCAGGAGCAGGAGGAGAGGGGAGAGGGGGGGGGGGGGGGCAGAGGGTGGAAGAGATGAAGGATGAGGAGTTTCTCTGGTATTAAAGAAATAGTGTTGTCTTTGTATTTTTTTCTATCTACGTCCATCACTAATGGAACGATAATGTTTTCAACCAGGGCCAACATTAATGGATCTCTGTGTGAAGAGGCTGAGCCTTGAGCTAGGCCTTATCACAGACTCTCTCTCTCTCTCCCCCTCCCTCTCCAAGCCCGTGAGCCACAGCAAACAATGTGTCGGCCTTTCTCCGTCCCATGTCAGAGCAAGAAAGAGGATGGGGGGGGGGATTATCTTTTGCTGCTGCTGCTGCTAGGAAACATGCTGTATCTAGGGCCCACTCATCATCACTGTATGTGCATTTCATGATAGTGTGCAGCACAGCTGCAATGCTCTTTCACCCTGATGGATGTTGTACGTGTGAACTCTTTCTTCATCTTTGGCTAATGGCTAACTTTTTAAAGTTAGCCATTACAATTAATTGTTGTTCTGGTACTGAAACCAGTATCAGCCTAAAATGCTGGAACAGGTACCTGCGAGTACACAGGAACAACAAACAACACGAGTCACTCGCTACCCAATCCGCACATCCTGCCCCTCCTCCCACGGCGAGAGAGAGTCAAACAAACACAGGACTTTCAACCAGGAGACCGATGTTTGTGTCCCAATGTGTTGTTGAGTTATTGTGAAGTTAAGTTTGTGAAGTGTTTATGTATTTTACTTAGTTTGCATAATTATGGCAACCATGAGGTTTTTCCTAAACCTAACTATGTGGTTTTGTTGCCTGAACCTTCTGTTTCCTTAAGAGGTCGTGGTGATTACACGTACTTCTGTGAATCTGTGTTGTTAAAAACATGGAGGAGGGTCAAACAAACACACAGGACTTGAGACTCAGGGGGCCACCGGGTCGGATTCTGGTGAAATCAGATGAAATCAAGCAGGTTCACCAGAAACTCCTTCAGCTCAGACTCCAGCAGAGACCAGTCCACCGTGGACAGACCCAGATCTGGCTTTATACCTGTGTCTAGATGTTGGTGGGATAACATCATCCAACAATCATCCCTCTACACCTCTATACCATATGACCTCTGTTGGGTTGAGTCTCACCAGGAAAGCGGCGATGGCGGTGCCGATGATGAAGCCGGCGATGACGTCCGACCAGTGGTTGCGGTATTCAGCCACGCGGTTCAGACCGGTGAGGAAGGCCAGACACATGAGCCCGAGAGACAGCACCGGCTTGGCCAGACGGGTGCCTTTCGCCTGCACCGTGCACGTCACGTACATCTGCCAGGGAGGAGAGGTGACGGGGTTACTGGAGATCATCTGAATGTTTAAACATCTTGTAAAATCACTGGTTCCATCACATGACTTAATCAGATAGGAGACATTGTAAAACTCCTCCTCCTTTGCAAAACGATTCTGAGAAAGTCGTCCACGCTCAAATAATACGCCACTACTGTAACAGCTTACTCACCTGCTTCAGACAGTCTGCAACTAACACTAGTCCAGAAGCCTGCAGCGAGGCTCACAGTAGAACCCACATTACAGCAGTATTAGCCTTCACAGGCTCCATATAAACTTTATTAACAGCAGTTAAATACAAAGCAAGGCATTAGGCCATCGTTTTACCTGTATTTATGTCACTATTAGAACTCATTTGAATCCACATGAATTCACTCACAAAACCTGCAAACATTAATGAGGTACCTCACATTTTTTGTCATAAAAGTCATTGTATAGTATTTCATAAAAAAGGAAATGTGATAGTATAATATGTCATAAAACTGTCATAACAAATTAAAATAGTTGAGTATGATATTTAAAGTCTTTAAAATGTATATGTCATTTTAAAAATCCTAAAAAGTTATAGAATTGTATGTCATAAAAAGTCATAAACAATCTTTACAAGTTAATGTATAGTAAAGAGTGCCATAAAGAGTTATAGTATATACCATTAAATGTACTTTTTCTGACCCCTAACCGTTGCAAATGATAAATGGTGCTCATCAGCTGCAGCAGGGAAGCAGAGCTTAAGAGAGGGAATCTGAGGAACACATAACTGCTAATATTGCTCTGTGTCTGCTGCATACTGGCATTTTGAATTGTTTTCTATCACCATGTCATTAAAGTAAGTGGGAAATATGTCAGGTGTTGTGTGTGAGTGTGTGTGTGTGTGTGTGTGTGTGTGCGCGCGTGATAGTGTGTGTGGTGGGGGGGCAATCTCTGAGTGGTGACGTAACCTTTCATAACGTACATTAGTCCTAACCGGTCCACAATGTCATTGACCTTGCAAGGTTCAGGGCTGATTAAAGACAGTAGATGGCGTTTTGAGCCATTCTCAACCAATGAAATGCTCATTTCTATAGATTTGTTAAGAGACGTCTATATTAACAGCAGCATTGATGCATTGATGCATTTCACCACCATATACTTTAAATTTACAGCTTCAAAAACAGGATTTAGAGTGCAGGTACTATTCAAATGATTCCTGGAGAGTTAGCACTTTGTTCCGTAGCCTAGTTGAACTAGTTTGATTTCTGTTTGCTAAAATAAATGAACTGCAAATCCATAAAAGGTTCGCTGTGCTGTGTGGAGAGACTTGTCTGTCAGTTTTGTTATGCACATAACGGTTTAATTGTGTGTTTAAATGTGCGATGAAACAGGTGAAAAGTGTGTATAGGTTTGACGGCTGATGTTTGGCTCATAGAAGCCGTGTTAGTGTGTAGATGAGCAGTGATGTCAGAAAGCACCACTCAACTCATACTGCATGTTTATAAGGAGGAATCTCTTTTTATCACTCAATATGCTGTCTCAATAGGAAAATGCTGAAAATCCACATTATTTTAGTTTGACTTTCAAAACTATTGTGGAAGTTGCTGTGCTCCTAATGTTTTATTAAAAGCTCTGTGGTGAAATGCCACCAGACAGCTGGGACTGTGTGTAAATAGGAGCCGATATGTTAAGTCTCTCCTCGGGGCATCTTTCTATTTTTCCACCGCTGTGTTTAGAGAAGGGCTGGCAGTTCTGCCACTGGAACTGCAGGATGAAAAAAATATATATATATCAGGTTGAAGAAAATAAGTGAAAGAAGCAGATGGAGAATAATAGAAAGAAGAGGAGAGGAATGACAGGAGAGAAGGAAAGGAAAGGGGAGGTGGAGGATGATACCCAGAGGGAGAGAGACGTAGGAAATACATGAGGTGAAGAGAGAAGGAGAGAAGGTGAGGAGAAGGACAGAGGTGAGGAGATAAAAACTGGAGAGTAAATGAGAGAGCGGGAGAGGAGAGGAGCAGAGTATAGGAGAGGAGGAAAGAGGAGAAGAGAGGAAAGGAGCAGAGGAGAGGAGGAGCATAGTAGAGGAGAATAGATAAAATGACATGAGATGAGAAAAGAGGAGAGGAGATAAGATGAGAGGAGGAAAGAGGAGATAAAGAGAGAGGATAGGAGAATAGAGCAGATAGGAGGAGAGGAAAGAGGAGAGGAACTAAATGACATTACGCTGTACTCCATGATAATATACTGTTTTTCAACAGGAAATACATTTTGTGTAAAAAGCATGCTCGTAACAGAGCGAAGTGGAGCAATAGAGCCTGCAGCATCTTCCTCCTCTCCTCCTCTCCCTCTGGGCCTCAGATGAGCTGCTGTAAATAATGCATCATTATCATAAGTTCTGTCACGCTGTAGTCCAGGCGGCTCAACACTTATCACAGACGAAGCATTTCTCAAATGAAATGAACTGAATCCAGTGACAAAACATCGTGAAAAGTGATCAGATAATACTTCACAGCATTGCATCAGGGCTAAAGCTGCACATAGGCGTTGTCCTTCTTTGAATAGTTGCATGTTCATGTCTCTGATACGGTATGTTCTAGGACATCATCGCTAACAGCCAAACACACCCTCAACACTTCGTCAGTTCGAATGACAATAAGAATCAAGACGGGTGCTGTTCTACACATGGCTCCTAACATGACAGCAACGTTGTAATGATTAGAGTGAACATGCAGCCTGTTGGGGTAGCTTGGTCAGTGGCTGTTATTCAAAAGAAGTTTTACATATACTATATTGTAGCTCATTTTTTCATGACTTTTAAGTATTTTGTTGTCAAACAGATGTAGACCAACGACTCAGCATGACTGGACTGATTTCTCACCAGATACAAAGCACACTCACACACGTTTCACACTTCCAGTAAGAAGGCAAACACAAATAGAAAATGTGGCATGTGTCATGATATCAGTCTTGGACAAGTTGGAGGGAGGAGGGGCAGAGAGAGAGAGAAACAGACGAATATAGACCCGAGGAAACATGTCTATGTTTGGCTCTAATCACTAATCTGTTGTGTTAACGCAGCAGACAAGGAGATTAAGCCTAATTGTATTTTTCATTAGAGTGCGCAATCTCTTCCAAGGCCAGATCAAGTGTTTCCATGTCTCTCTCTCTGCAATTCATTTACTCTGCATCTCTTAATAATTCAGGACTTAAATATATGGTGCTTTCAGGGAGCATCCTGTAAGGTTCTTCAGAGTTATGTACCGTTAACAGGTTAATCCTCCATTTACATGTTCACGTCTTCAGTGATCATCCACACATCCGGCTCAAAGGACACAGTTGCTGTGGTAATGGGTCATATTGCGGTCCCTTGACACATTTAGCTCTCTGTCCTTAGACTTTTGTTGTTCTGTAAACTGCTGCTCAACTGATATACCGATAGACATTGTCATTGGAGACACAAAGAGCTCTACTTCCATGGATCAAGGGATGGACTGTTTATCGCACTTAAGTGTTCTCTGCCGAGTTTTTCGTGGGCGTGCGAAATGCACTTTTATGCCGTGTTCGCAGCAGACACAAAGCAAATTTTCTCATCAGTGGATTTCACCGAGTCATATTTTCAAATTCTAGCAAGCCATTAATATACCAGATATAAACAAAACAACGACTTGATAATGCAGATTTTTAAAAAGTCTGAATTCATGCTTTTTTAGGTCTGGCCGCAAGATGACAAACAACTTTTAAAATGCTTGTTTTCTGAATGGAAAGACTTGGTTGGGAAGGACAGGTGGGTCGCAGGAGATTTTTATCAGGGTCGCCAAATAAATTGGTCTTTTATTTAACATTTACATCTGCAGTTGACCTTTAAGTCACATGAGGGAGCCTGAATGTTGGTATTCTTCCAATAATTGTATTCTACTTTTAACATTCAATCTAATGTGAAAGGCTAATGTACAATATGTTTGCTTTACTGATGAGAGGAAGTTAATATAATTAAACAGTCTGTTGACAGCCTAAATGCATTTATTAGGTCCCATTTATTAAGTATTTATTATTTATTTATTTTATTTATTTGTTTATTTTGCAGGGTTAATGCACACCAATCAACAGTTAAACTGTAAGTGAGCCAGAGAGGCTAGTTTTTATCTGCTGTCCCCGGCCAGATGTTTAAAAAACAGATTACAAAATTTCAAATAGAAATGGAATTAAAATGTATAGATAAACAGACAGTAACGTATAGACAAAACTAATACACATATAAGCAAAAGAAAAGTGTACATAAGACACTAGAGCAGAGCAGACATAACAGGCTGCAGCATGCGTCAGGCAGAACAAACCCACCTACAGTACAAGCACACATATTGTTATATGTGTGCTTGTACTGTAGGTGGGTTTGTTCTGAGGCACATAACAAGTGGAAATGTTTTCCATAACACGTGCGTGAAACAAAGTCATTCATCAAACAGACATCTTTTCTAGATGGCTGGTTTACCTGTTCAAGGCCATAATAGGTGTTGAGGAAATGGCAGTAAAAATAGCCGGGCATGTTCATTTACACATTTGGCTTTTTTTTATTATCTTACAGATAATGTTGGAAATTGGGTCGCGGTGGTTGGTCATTTTTAAAAAGTGATTGCCCAGGGAAACATTTTTTTTTGAAACGCTGCGTTAGAGGATGTAGGTGAAACCCCAACTATGTATTGTGCAGTTTGGGAGCAAGGAGGACAAAACCGGTTTGTCTTAAAAAGGCGCGGCAAGATTCCAAAGAACGTCGCTGGAGCGCCCTGACACGAGTGCGCTTGCATGGCAGCTAAGAGGGCTGCCGACTACCTTGCGTTTGGACGAAACATGATCACTTAGGCAAGACAGGTCGCAAATCTTAAGTCTTTATTGTTATTTTATAACCTCTAATAAATAAAACGATTTGATTAGACACAAAAAGTAAAGAAGATTTAAAAAACGCAGTGAGTGTGAGTGGTGAGTGGGTTGAAGAAGAGCTCTGCACTCTGTTG